TGAACGCTGAAAAGCTTACGTGAGAACAAATTAAACAAATCAGATTCGACATGATGTACGACCTCGCAGCGCACATTTTGACTGATGACTTCTACGCCATCCCTCCCTCCTCCATATTCACTTTAAATCCCTTCACTCTTCTTTATACTTCTGTCCTTATCGACTGTTGTTCCCTCGGTGCTTAGTCGACATCATATCACTTTTGTTACCTGTCACTTTCAAAAACAATCTCAGCATCAGAGGGGTTGTCTTTGTTGCGTTCCCGGTTAGTTTAGCTTCTAGCCGAGCCCAGTTAGTTAGTTAGCCTCTCGTCATCCGCAGGTAAAGAAGCCACGCTTTTGTAGAGAGACGTGTCAGTAAATTGGACCAGCTTGTCTCTGCTGAAGTTACTTTAGATGTTACAGGCACCCGAATTCAAAGCAGGCATGTTAGCGATAGTGAAAGTTCTGTGGCGGGGGAAGGCTTTTGTAGCAGTGAATAAAGACCTACACGTAGTGTAGCAGCGGGGGGGGGGGGTGGGGCTAAGCGAAGGGTCAATTAGGGTCCTGTTATATTTAGTGAGTCACAGCCGTTCCAGTGAGCCAGCATGTACTATACCAGGGCACTGGCCCAGCTAAATGGAACGGGGCCATAATTAATGTTATTAATTACAGCTGTGTTTGCCTGTCAAAATGGCTGCTCCTAAAGGAACCCATCCATATTTGATGGCAGCCCCTGTTGCCCCAGGGTTACACAACACACTCTAGTTATAGGGAACTCCATTACCCACAGTATGAGATGAGCATCACCAGCCACAGCACACTGTTCACCCCCCGGCCACAGCTTCTGGTCCAGAGGGTGATCTGAAGGGGCTGGTGTTGCGTGGGGAGAATCAGGGAACACATTAATCGATTATCAAAATAGCTGCCGATTAATTCATTTTTAGTCACTGCATTATCAACAGTCGTACCACAGAAAGGCTCAGTTTGACGCCTCACCACGGTGCACTTAAGCTCATTTCCAACACTTGGTTAACAGGATACAAAGAGCCCGCGCTCAGTCAGCACAGAGTGCTGTGTAAACGCTGTGTAACGCCGTTTCATCCCACACCACGACGGAGCCCAGTGTCCCTCAAGGCTGTTCTTTAACAAATCCCATACATTTAATATGCAGCAGCCAATAGCGGAGGATTAGCTTCAGCAGGGTTTGATTTGGAAAAATGGAGGAATTACACCATGAAAAGAAAGAAGAAGAGGAACTTGGAGACGAGAAGCAGATAGCAGGACGACAGATTAGGCAGCGGATGGATTTAAGGGAGGCGACACTTTATTTTTTTTAAACGGCAGCGACGAGGATCCTGCTGAGGATGAGGATCTCACGGGGGACAGATTCGGTTAGACGACAATTGACTGCCCAGTGTCGTACCACACCGGAGTTCAAGAGGCTATCGAAACATTATGCCAGCGAGAGTCATAACAGTGACCGGAGGAGTAATAAAAGACATAAAGTCAGGGAGACGGGGAAGCGGGGGAGAGCGAGAGAAAAAAAAGAGAGAGAGAGAGAAAGATAGAGGGGAAAAAAGGTGGGAGAAAAATCAATAGACTTCTATATGCAGCAGTGAGAATGTGGCCTCTCGCTCCAGACGGCCGAGCCAAGGACTCCAACAGCCAGCAGACAGACTGAACATCCATCCACACACACAAACTGATAATGTGCCACCGCAGCCTGTCCCCATCTCCATTCATCTCCGTCTTTCCTCCTCCGTCCCCACACACACACACACACACACACACACACACACACACACACACACACACACACACACACTTCAACCTACTGGCTCCTCTCCTCCAAATGTAACAGTCTAATTTGGTTGAGGGCTGGCTGCCGTGTTATTGATGTTTCCAGAGGTCTGATCCATCTCAGGGCCCGGGACAAGGCTTTATTCAAGAAGAGGGGGGGGGGGGGGGGGGTAACTCAGAGGCATCCTGTTCCCTGTTTGGGAGAGAATCAAACTGCAGTTGGTAATTTAAAGGCTGGACAGACAGCTCTCGTTACCGTGTCGGCCCACGTTGCTTCGTCACACTGCTCTGAGACACATTTCCACGCCTGTTTGGGATTCTCTGGACTAAGAAGCCACTTCTGTAACTTTTCTTGTGGTGTTACAAACTTTCAGAAAGACTGACTTTAGGATTATACAATATGGAAATGAAGATATAAGTTATTAAAAAAGGAATAAAAGGAGACTTGTTTACTTTCTCACAGTGAAAGGATTAAGACACATTCAGAGTGTGTGTGTGTGTGTGTGTGTGTGTGTGTGTGTTGGTGGATTATCGAGGTTTACTCCTGAGCGAGCTTGGCATGCTGGTGCTTCTTCACATACATTTAGTCTTTATGCGCGTATGTCCACCCATCTGTGTGGGTTTAGCTGGAGGCCAGAGCGAGGGGGAATCGGGAAGCTGGATGTGTTGTGTTTTCTTTACCAGTGTCTTATCACTGTGATATATGGCCAAATAGCACACAGAGGGGCTGGCACTGGCCTGATAACCAACAATAGATGAGGATTGGAAGAAATGTTAAGAAAGAAAGAAATAAGGAAAGGAAGAGGAGCGAAGGGAGCAGCGGACTCTCTGGACGCCTGTGGGAATGTGTTAGTGTAGCTTCTGATCATTGATTAAAGAGGTTTATGTACTCCCACCTACAGCAGAGGAGAGGACACACTCAACCCCCCCCCCCCTCTCTCCCCCCATTCCTCTATCCCAGAGCTGTCCATCCATCTGCCCTTCCCCTCCTCTGTCTCTCTCTCTCTGCTGTAATGGGCCAACAACCATTGCTGTAATTCTCTCTGTACTATAACTGACAACTACAGAAGGTCAGTGAGAGGGAGGGGTCTCCTGCTTCTAATCACTCAACCAGAGCAGGTCCGTCCAAATGTCACCACAGCAGAAATACCGATACAGACGACCAGTGTACTAATAAACATACTGCCGTTCAATCTTCCTACAGCTGAGATTACAGAAACCAAAATCTTGCTTTTCTGACTAAAATCTGAATTATATGTTCACGTCATTAATTGATAGGGTCATGGTCATGTTTAACCCAGTTGTCATTATATTTATATTTTCATAATTACGTTCCATCACGCTTGAAGAAACGTGAGGCAATCGTTTAGGTTTAGTTTAGGCAGCTAAACTACTTGGATAAAATGAGTTAAGAGATCAAGGTATGTTTAAAAAAAGTAATGTAACTAGATATCAAACGCCATGAGCAGACTTTCTTATGTAACTTGACAAACGTAGCAACTTTCCCTAACAATCGTACTGATGCTTATTTTTAGCTTCACACAGGACACAAACAATGGTCTCATGGTTTGTTGGACCCATTCACAACACCTTCCTTTACTGGACTTTGTCGCTTGTGTAACTCGTTATTATACCACGCAACTTTCAATAACGCTCACTTGATATTCTACTTCACTTTATTGGCTTTGACCGAATGCAAAAACGTTGACATTTAACATAATTTAATCCTACACTGCCAACGTTTGTTTTTCCCAGGCGACCGGCCTGTCGTGCTCCGCATTAAACATTCAACACAGCAGTTTCAGATTTGCCGCTGACTTTTCAACTGCAAGCTCAGTTTTACAGCAATATTCTCTTTCTGCTGTTGGAAGAAGTCCCCCACTTCATAATCTCCTGTAAACTAGAACACATCACTTGACCAGAGATGGTTCCCCTGGGACAGACACACACTACTCAGACAATGGTCAGTGGGAAAGTGTTCGTAAATGACCCAACAATGGAGGCAATCAGGTGGAGAATCTCCCCCGGAGAAGATCTTTGACGGAAGTCAAGTTGATGTAATTTCTATGGACAGAATAGAGAGGTGTGAACATGAGGCGCGTGTATTCATTATAAGTGGCATAAAAAGCCTCATGTAAATGCAGCCAATGAATCCCTACCAGTTCTGACCTCTACATGTGATGACTTGTGAAGTTTGAGAAACAAACTTTCCTGAGCAGGATGACTAATGATCCAAGTCAGGATTTTGAAAATGTATTCTCAAAACCCTGAAACTCCCAAACACTCTGAGCTGAGGATGAATGAGTGGCATTAGTGTGGCAGAGACACGCGATAAATAATGCATTCATTCCAGACAGACACATCAAACATAAGCAAACACATTTTGGTTGATTGCAAATTCAGACGAGGGCGAGAAGAATATAGCGTTGTTGTCGCTGTTGTGTTTCTTCTACTCTGTGGTTTTCTGCCACAGTACCAGGTCCATTAACTATCAAGAGAAATGAATGCGAGTGAGCTGAGGCGAACAGCGCGGACAATGCTATTATTGTGAAGTTTGGGGAGAGAGTGCGAGAGCAGAAAGTTGAGCCGAGAGAGAGAGAGAGAGAGAGAGAGAGAGAGCGAGAGCGAGAGAGAGAGAAGTCATGGACAAACTTGAAAAGGAGAAAGGAGAAGCGACCGCAGTCAATTACAAGTCCCATCTTGTAGTTTGTGTCTGCATTGATTTGTTTGGGGACCAGGGTCTCGGCCTCTCGCCAGTTCACCTAATTGCACTCGCTCTAACCCGCTAATTACTTCACTAAGACCTAGTCGGCCTCACCTCGGTGCGCTGCCTCACTGTCGGGAGCTGTCTCTCTAAACCAACGCGGGAGAGCAGAGAACAGGCCCGGATTAAGAATGCATGATGCGTGTCAGAGCAGCAGAGGGAAGGGGGAGATGTAGAACGAAACAACAAGAGACAGGCACAGTGAGGACGTGGGGGTGTGTGTACTTCAGGTGGTCTGCGGAGGCTGTGAACTTGGGTGGAGGGCGTACAGCAGCGTTAACATACCGCTGGTAATGTACCGCACGGCAACCTCAAGACAGCGACGACGTGAGTGATGTTCCCCGCTGAGCTGAGCTGCATACATAATTAAATAAATCGCTACCAACTAGAGAATCGGTCACGATCGTGAAGATAATGGTGACAGTGAAGTTCGTTCATCGGGGGAGCTCACATACCTGATGGGATGAGCCCGAAGGCCCAGTTGGGTACGAGGATCCCGAAAGGGTCTTTGCTGTCTTTCGACGCCGGAGCTTTGTGTTCCTCCGACTTCAGGCTCGCGCTTTTGAAAGGAGTCCACCGGCTTCCAACCACGAAGGAGTCAGACACCGCGGACCTGGATTCCATTTCTGTGGCGCCGACGTTGGAGCCCGATGAGAAGGTGGTCATCCGGATGGCACCCGCGGTGGTTTGAGATCCGTCGCCGGGTGCTGGAGTAGCTGAGAGGTCGGGCGTTGTTTTCTCCCGCTCTTCCTGAAGCCATGAAATGGAAATAGACGACTCCTCGGTGGTGGTGCTCCCTGAGGAGTTTTCTGTGGCGGTTGTTGTGGCGGTAGGATCCGTCCTCTGAGCGTCTCTGGTCGTCAGAAGCTCCACTGTGGTCACTTCGGAGGTTGTCAGCATCTCTGTGAGGGCTCCGGGTGTGGAGGTGGCCGCCTCATTTCTGCTGGTGCTTTTGCTGTGCTTCGTAAAAGGAGAAGTGAAACCTGAATTTGAGCTGCTTTCTCCTCTCCGTGAGGAAGCCGAGGAGAGGTCGTCAGTGGGCCTGCGGACGTAGAGGATCCCTCCCCTGGCTTCCTCTGCTGTGTCGGGCTCCTGGGAGCCCCGAGGTGGGGTGGTGAGCTGTTGCACCAGCTGCCACCGGGACAGAGTGGTGAGGTCTCCCACAGTCACGAGCTCAGTCTGGCTTTGGCCGAGTGAAGACTTAGTTTCAGGACTGCTTTTGGCTTTCGATGCAAACCCGCCAGGAAAGCTGCTCCCGTCACTGCTCCCCTCCATCTCCTTCTCCTCCCCCGATGCAGCTCTGGCAGCCGATGGAGGGTTAGCATCCTCCCCTTCCTGGTCCTTCCCCTGGCCTGAATAGTTTTCCGGGTTGTCTTGTCGAAGGGAAGTGGGCAGGGTCATCACCTCGAGCGGCCCCGCTTTGGCTTCCATGGGCCCCCAAGTGGGACGTTTGCCCACGTAGGGCACATTCCCAGGGGGGCCTAGTTTAGAGCCACGCATGGATTTGATGGCCCACCGAAAGTGGCTGCTGGGGGCGGGAGCCAAAGCCGGGCCTCGTCTGGGACCCTGAGGACCGGATACGTTGACATGTTCGCCGGGTGGGGATGTCTCGTTGGGACCCGAAGCAGCGAATCCTAACGGGAACAAAGAGACAGAACAGACTAATTAATACCATTCCATTATGGGGGCGGAGAGGACGGGGGTGGATTTAATTTTATGCATGTGGAATTAGCAATTAAAACTAAAGCCTGCATGGCTTACATGAGCCCCCTGTAACTGTTACAGGGAGCTCAGTGTGCCAGGATCAGCGGTGCGAGCACTGCCCGGTCATGTGTGGACCACGTCACCACGTTTTTATTGCATATTTTCTTCTTTTCTGTGTCCACAGTACAAACTATTTCTATTTGGGATAGTGAAGTAAACAGACTCATGTCTGTGTAGAAAGTGTGTAGAAACTTAAAGTGGGAATAGACAACTTCTCAACTCCAAGTTCCAAGCGGGATTATTTTTGGCGCAGCAGGCGCAAAGACAACAGCTCGCCGCTGTCCTCAAAGAATACTAGTGGCAACAAATTTAGCGATTTATTCAAACAAACAGGGAAAAAGAAAGAAATATATTCCGTTATATTATACTGTTCATTCTGTGTGTTCGTTGCACTGGATCTCTCCCTCTCCCCTCCTCTCCCTCACTGCAACCGACACAAATACTAAGCTTTATGCAAATGAATGCACAAGGACTTCGACGTTATGCAAATGAGCGCAGAACTTTTGGAGCTGGGGCTAGCTAACGCTGCATTTCCTTTTTAAATGGAGCCTCATTCCCGGGAGGTCGTACCTGGTGGCAGACAGAACTGCACAGTGAAAGAGAGGCGTATAGGGTGACCATTCTATAGCATATCCAGCATCTCATCCCTGCAATATTTACTATAAAAATGCTCCAGTCACTTCTGTTTTCACCATCAAATAATCCCATTAACAACCAATTATACCAACTAAACTCAATTGGTCCTGAACCCCAACAATACAACTTTCTTGCAGATACCTCATCACATGTGAAACTTTTTATTTTTGTCCCAAAGCTCTCTTGCTGCACAACAACCTCCAAAAATCTGTTGCATTTTTTATTTCATTCCGATGAATAATTTATTTTGACATTGTTTTACATGCAGAAACTGTCACATTCATAAATGGGATCATATATTCATTTTTAAATTCAACTTTCTCTTCTCAAAAGGAGCTATAGCGACCTTCTATGTATTAAAACATCAAATATCCCAACAGCCCTTTTTATACTAAGTGTCTAACACACTCTAATATGTGCTTTTTGAAGTGTGCTTAAGATGTAAATATGCAAATACAGTATAAAGACCTTTAAATGTAACGGGGAGTTAGGTTCTATTTCTCTTCTATCCCTCCGTGTTTTTAGGCTGTAGACTTTTTGATGAAATAAAAGTAGCAGTTAACTGTAATTCACTGTAAGTTGGATGTCTTGGGCTTCTTTCCTCACCAGTGGAGCTGATCAGTGCGGCTACCAAAGCTGCTGGAGTTTTCAGACAAAGATGGGAGCCGACCCTCGTAGGAAGCCCACAAACACCAGAAGGATGGAAGGATGTATTCAAAGTAATTTCACACTTCTCTTCTCTGTCCCTGTTTTCTTATTCCCTGTGGATTCTCTTCCCCCAAACACACTTTCCTGCGGCGAGAGAAGCCATGTGGAAAAACGCAGGAGCTGCTGCAACGCGATGACTAAATGACTTTCACCACGACAAGCTCCCATCTCGACCTGTTTATTTAGATGAAGTGGCCCACTGTACCTTATCAGCTTACGGCCTTACACCAGACACTGTCTCTACACCTTCAATAATTCATTCTGTCTGCATGTGTGACTCACGGCTGGTGTGTGTGTGTGTTTTTTGGTCTGCAGTGCAGTCGTGTCACTGAGAAGCCTCAGCTGGTGTCGCTACCATCATCATCGCTCAGCTCGGTTTGGCCGTCTTCAGTACAGTTACCGTGTCTGCAAAGCACAGCAATGCCGCAGGAGGGGGGGGGGGGGGCAACGCGACCCAGCACAACAAATTACCACGAGAGGGTAGAACATACACAAATATGTCCATGCATGAAATATTAAACTGTGTTAATTATTCAGAGGGTCCGCTGTTGCCTTATGCCCAAGCGAGGTTTATGAGCCCGAGGTTCATCTCCATAAGAACCATGTAGACCGGCGTAATTGTCGTATTAATAACCCAAATAGCTAATTACATACTTTCACTACACACTCCGAGGAAAGTGAGAATAATTAAACACATTAATCTGGTGTGATCATCTACGTAATGACCCATGTAATAAATAAAATGAGACAATTAGGCGTGGGTTTGGATGACTTGAGCGCGGTTTAAGTCCAGCCCACTGACACCGCGGATCTGTCGGTGGGAAAGCTCCACGCAGAAAACGTTGCAAAACAAAGTTACAGTAAAGCGCCCTGTTCAGACGGTAATTGTGTGCTTCCACTGTGAGTGGTTCTGCTGCGTTGACTCCACTTTACTGGAGTAAACAGGCTGAGAGAATCCCCCGGGTCAGGCGGACATGATATTAAATTGTGAGAGTGGAGGCTGACAATGAGAGAGAGGCGCAGAGCGAGAGCTGGCACCGATGCCACCTCATCTGCAGATATGGCATCTAATAAATAAAATGAAATAATCAAAAAAGACTGAGGAGAAGTTATTGCATGGCCATGTGAATCATGTCGGGAGCATCTACATTGAGCACACGGTCTTCTATCACATACAGTCCAGTCGGGTCTTGCATGTCGAGCTTATTCAAATCCCACCTCCGTTTATTGGAGGCCGATTGCTCCACCAGGAGCTTAATATCATTCAATAAAAAGACTCAAAATATTGTGATCATTCAAGTCATCGCTCTACATTCAGAGGACTTTTTTCCAAATTTTTAAGTTAATTTGATTCAATGTTTAAATTGAGATGTTTCTTGGATGTGTGCCCCCCCTCCTCCCTCCTCAATCAAAGAGGCAACGTGCCACCATCAGTTACTGAGGAGCATTGAGATCCAAGGGAAGGCCTGCAGCAGCAATAACAGAGTAAACTCAGCTCACTGATGCTAGTTTAAGAAGAGACGTCAGCTGGGCAGCTTTCCATCACGGCAACATTAAAAGACAAAAAACCCACTCATCCTCGCCACCCCATCCCCCCCCCCCCCCCCCGCTCTTCCCCCTTTCCTCGCGTCGTTCGTCCTCGCCGCGGTGATCATTACTGCCTATGCCTTCAGAGAGCCGGGGCTTAATTGGCAGAGACGTAGACGGAGGTGAGAGCGGACGGCGGCGCGGCCCAACCTCCGCGTTAATTGGATGAGGTGGTGAATAATGCATGCGGACTAAAGCTTGGATTTTCATTAATACCCTGGTGGTTGGCATCGGATTCCAGGTAGCACAGCAGTGAGTATTTAAATGGATAAAGTCGGCATCCGGTAGGTGAGAAAAGCCCATCACCTTTATTGAATCATTCTTCTGGATGGATGTCTGCGGGAGACTCTTAAGTCTTTCATTGCCCCCCCCCCCCCCTTAAGCTGCTGCCAAGGATGTGTTATTTGTGGTGGCCATTAAAAGCAGAGCTGCATTCTTCCACCCAAGGCTGTGGTACACTTTCTTCTTCCGCTCCTATCCGGTAAATTTTATCTACTTTTGGCCGATGATCAGTTTGTGAGCTGGAGTTTGGCTTTACCTCGCCCCGGTGGTTATCGGTCCAGCAACCTTACAGTCGGGAGCTGTTCCTCTAATCTGTAGTGTATCTTTATCGGCGTAGTTACGATCGAGAGGAAGTGATCTGGCATTTCGTGCCAGTGTGCTTTCAAGAAGACATGAGCGGTGGCCTCGTGATCTTTTCTACCCCACACACACACACACACACACACACACACACACACACACACACTAACACTGGACTCGTGCATTCTCCACTGAGCATTTCTCTTTTTGTGTCTGAACCAAGCAGCAACCTCTAGGTCAGAGAAATGAAACCAACCAAAGACTGCAGTTCCTCGAATGGCCACTAGATGTCGGCTCCCGAAAGCAAGTCAATCCTCATAGACCTCTATGTTAAAATGCCCAACTTTAGAGCAGAAATAAACATGTTTACAGCCTGGTACAAAAAAACTGTTTTGGTCTCTATGGCCAATACTCCTATTTATGACAAGTGTACAGGGTGAATATTAAAATAACACAAAATCAAGGGGCGAGGCTGCTATTTGTGTCTCAGATTGCTAATTGCTAGCTGTCTGCTCTGCTGCGTCATCCAGGCCCGCCTCCACTCCCCCGATGATCCACCTCTTTCTGGATTAGCTGGGAGTTAGACGGAGTCGGCAGGATCCGCCCCCTCTGAGCTTCACAACGGCTCTTCTATGGTCTGAACGCAGACTTCTTAAATTGTCCATCCATGTGTAATTTATTCTCCACGGCTAACACCGGCCGTTGTTTTAGTTCTTAAAAAGAAGCTGTAATTTGTGATGAAGGTCTGCTTTGTTTCAGACAAACATTACGTATGCAAGCAAACCTTTTACTGCAAAGTAGATTCAAATTGGAGCTTCGCTCGTACTCTTTCTGACAGCCTGTACTGTAAACAAAGCACTCTGTCGACGTATGAATATGAGAATGAAGTCTCCACTCCAACATGTTGCTGTATGAGGCATGCCCCTTTTGTTTGTTTGCAATTACTGTTTAATTAAATCTACAGCGCTACTTCAAATTGCCCTGCGGAGGAATAATTTATGGCATGCTCGAGGGAAAAGCGGAGGGAGTGCAGCAGAGAGACAGAGACTGTTTAAAAAGCACGACATGAACGGATCCTATAATTCCCAGCGACATTTACGGTAAATGCATCAGGCCTCGATTTGAAATGCAACCGTTTCCATTTACCCTCATTTCTATTTCAATTTCATACTCAGTTATTAGTTTAAAGGTGAATTCAAACACACACACACAGATAAAATAAATATTGAGCTCATACCGTTGGATGGAAGATTGTCGGCCGATGCGCTGGAGGCTCGTTCTCCTGGCTGAGTGGAGGTGTCACTTTGCCCTGTGCTCTGGACTGCAGGCACTAATCGAATCAGTGGCATCACCTCTTTCTCCTGCTCGGACAGACCTTCCTCTGGATTCTGTAGTGCGCTGGTAGGAGTCCTGAAGGAGGAACTGCCACTCCTGTGCTCCATGATGGCATTGTCCACGCTGCCCTTGTCCCCACTTGGTTTTGGTAAACTCAGGTTTCTGCTGGATGCTTCTCCCTGCGTCCGGTTCTCTCCTGCTTTGTCCTCGGCAGCCGACGGCCCCTTTTCTGTCTCCTCCACCTCCTCGCCTCCTCTCCAGTACCTGAAGGGCTTCATCAGAGTGTTAACAAACTCAGCCAACACACTGTTGCTAGTCTGAGACTGGGGAGTGGAAGAGGCTACGGATGATAATGTCGGGGACGATCCAAAATAGCCGCCGTCTTCTTCTTCATGAGCTGAACCTCCATGGCTCTCCAGGCTCTCGAGGTCAGTGAGACCTATGGTGTTGCTGCTCTCCGTGCCATCAGAGTCTTCCTGTTTTTCCCCCCAGCCCTCCTCTGGCCTGAGGTGGATGACGACGTGCTCTTCAGAGATCTCGGAGGAGTTGTCGATTCCGGCGTTGTCCAAGTCAACCAAGCCGGCCCAGTCGGACGTCTTGGGAAAAGCGTCGCTGCGCTGGGCTTCGGGGACTGAGGAGAGGGGCTCTGCTGCCGGGTCGGGGGCCTGGTACAGAACCTGCGTCTCTGCAGCCTGGACCCCTGCTGGCTGGTGGGCTGCAACGCACATAAAGTCACATTTCACCAAAAGCAACAGCACTTTTTTTTCCACTTGACCTGCTTTATCTACTGCCGCTGCACAATACAGAACCTCACTTTCTCTCTGCTACTCCAACAAGATTAAATTCAGGGCATGCTGCTCGGCGATAGACTGACAACATGTGGCTCGGATTTGTCAACCACAAAATCAAATCGTTTTCAAATGAACAAACACGCAGCTATTGTGTTCATGCCATATTAATGAGATTACATCGACAGAATTATCTACATGAGCCAAATTCACGCTATAAAACAAAACATATTATCGTTTTTATCAACGTTTAGCTATCTGAAAGACATCATTTGTTTTAAATATTAATCAGTCAACATGCATACAGCTTCGTTGGTGCAATGTGGAGGTTTTGAGAAGTGCTCCGCTGCTCTGCTCCCATGCTGTTCTTGTTGACTTAAAAGGATTGGGTTATGTAGATGTTTCGCCTCAATGAAAATTTAATAAGCTGACATTGTGAGGGATAAAAACGTCAGGTTTCTTCCCCCCCCCCCCCCCCGTGTGTGGAAATACAATCGTCAAACATCAGTTAGTAGTGTGCTACAATCAACGGAAGCCAGAAAAAATAAAAACAAGCTCCAGAAGAAGAATCATAGGCTGCATAATCTACGAATAACACCCAATATCAGTGAACAGAATGTGCTGTAAAGTCAATCCAAAGTGAAGATGAAACTAACTTATTCCAGTCTCAGTTGGCTCATGATAGAAGACAAGGTCAGACACAGAGTCACTGCAAAACCCCAGTTGGGCTAATTCATGCTCTTTCTATCTCTCTCTCTCTCTCTCTCTCTCTCTCTCTCAAGCTTCATTTCACACAACATACAAGCCCTTAAACCCATCAGGGGGACACACAAATGTCACACAATCTCTTCGCAACTACTTCATGTGTGACACAAACATAATTAGAAAACCAGAACGAGAGCCCCTCTGTCCCCTCTGTCGTTGCTGTGGCAATTACCACAATGACGGTGCACCGAGTTCATCATCGCTGAGAGTACCTCGGTAGCAGTAGGCGTCGTACAGGGCCGTGGTGTCGGGGAAGCCGGTGCGGTTGGGGTTGTTGTAGACCGTCCGCACCCCGGGCTCGTCCCCGCCGCAGTTCTTCCGCGGGACGTTGATGGGGTAGCGGGCGCTGCCGTCGGCGAGCCAGCCGGGGTCGCACTGGTCCAGGCCGGCCTGCCAGGCGAGGTAGAGCTGCCCGACGGTGGCCAGCTGGGCTCCCAGGGAGTGGCAGTGGGTGGAGGCCGTAGCCAGGCTCAACTTGTTCGCCACTGAGGAGTGGAAGACTTCACCTACGGGAGAAGAAGGAGAGGAGAGACAAGGAGTTCAGTTTGACAGCACGGCTGAGAGACTAGAGGCATTTAAGCCTTTGTCTTTGTTGAGTTGTGAATGTAGGTTTTCCAGAGTTTGTTTTGCGGTTTGTTTGGTTGGACAACGTGATGAAGCTACATTTGATTTTATGCATTCTGTGTGTACGTGAGTCTGTCTGGGTCTTCTTTTACTTTAAAGACAATTAGTTCTAGACAGTTTGCTCTTTTTCTTTGTCAACTTTGCCAAAGCAATAAGAGATGCAGTCTTCAAGTAGTGTGATAAAAGAAAAGTTTTTACTTGCCATGCATAAGAATGATTTATTTTTTGCATAAAAGTAATAAAAATACATCAGTGATTCAAAGAATGGACTATACAAAGACAGTTCTTTGAATTCAAAGCAGTTGCAAAGAGGGATCTAAGAGGAAGACAAGTACACAGACTGTGACTGAAGGAGAAGAAGAAAGGAAAGGTGGGGTTGATGTGGTTAAAATAGTGATGCAAAAACAAGGCCTGAGCAAGCCAGACAGAGAGATTTCAAGAGGACCACTAGTGTCTGCGCAGCACAAACACAATGATATGATCGGAGGATCCACTGGCAGTTCAGTGTGTGGTGAAATAAATATGAGGAGTGGACAGTGGGAATGAGTTCGATGTGAGGATCCAGAAGATTTATACCAAAAGCACAGAATAGAGTTGCTGATTTATTGAACAGGGTCGGGAAGGTAAAGAAAGAATATGAGAGGCAGAATGGTTTTAGGGCAGACTTTATATAAGAAGTGGACGTAGTCGCCGCGATGTCACCCATTGGTTTGTGGACTGCAGTTTTGAAGCATCGAGTTCGGCATTTTGTCTCTCGCCATCTTGTTTTATTTGTTATCAAAAGTGACATGAGAGGAATACTAAGAACAACCTGACGAAGGCATTTTTAGCGACCAAAATGTTACAATTAACCCATGACCTAAACACTCAATGTCTAAGGGTTCCAAGAAGAAAACATGGAGAACTGGCAGACCGTACAATGCCAATCACCGTGTAGCCCTGCCCTAAAGCATCCCCTGCTTTATGGTCTATTTGACTCTAATGGACCATAATTTACTAAATGAACATCATGCTGTATTGAAGAAGACTTGAAACTAGAGATTGAGACCATAAACTCATGTTTACAATGTTTACTGAGGTAATAAATCAAGAGAGAAGTAGAGTCATTTTCTCATAGACTTCTATACAACCAGAGGAGTCGCCCACTGATGGACATTAGAAATAATGCAAGTTGAAAGCACTTCTGCATTGGCTTCGTTATTTAAAGCTTGAGGTTGCTGCCTGGGATGACGTGAAGAGTTTGTTTATTGGGAAACTGGTGAAAAGTTGCTAAATATTACGGATTTATGATGGAATAAAAAATAAATTATGACAGGGTAAAAAACCTCAACTCCTTCCTTCCCTTTTATTTTACGATGAACTTACTAAGATTTGAACTAAATGAAACACTTCTGATACAGTCAACCAAACCATGCTGAAATCCATGCACAGATAGAGAAAAGGCACGTGGGTTTGTATTGATCAACAGTGATAATTCATGTAGCTTTTACTAGTTATTTATTTTTACAGAATAAGAGATAAAACACCAGCTCTGTGTCAGCTAGTAATTTGACTTTGATTAAAGACAATTATCTGTTGATTGTTTCAATCAGGTTGGTAATTTCCCTGAATGAAATTGTCAACTGCTGGATACAAAGTCTACAGGTGGTCATGCAATCTTCTCTGCTCGGCAACTCAGTCACATGTGGAGTGTTCGGGCCTACAATAGATCTGGCACTGTAACACTACTATTATGCTTAATAACAGTTGTGGACGTACCGGCTCACAGCAAGCGACCCAGAAAGCCTAACCCCTGCGGTGCGTCTGATTGTGCTCAAAAAGCCTGCTGCGCTTATGATTGTTCACTGGAATATGCAAATATCACAAACCCAGAGCAGTATTTCAGTTTGTCCACTGCCGCGTTCTTGATTATAATGTGAACGCAGAATACGTGCAGCGCTGATATCTGCTGTTTGGTCTATGACACCCCCATAAGGGGCAAAAGCTCAACACAGCAGGATGTCGGGAGTGATGACATCCCCCGGGAACTTAAAACCTGAGTCTGCAGGTGCATGCTGGGGGCAGAGGTTGGGTTTATGAGGTGCTACAGTATAAGAACATCAGTGGCGGGAGTGACAGCAGATGGCCATAATAGAAAGGGGGCATTGGATATACTAGTGCAGGGCCTGTTGGGGACGTGGAAGTTTGATTGGCCCCTGGTATTGCTGCTTGCCGCCCTGTTGGTGGGTGGGCCCGTTCAGAGCATGTGCCCGTTCTTAAGAACCACTAATTGCTCGTTTACCCCACGGAGGTGAAGAAGAGATTGGTTGTAATGTTAGTCGTTCAGTCACCCAGTCAGCAAACAGGAACTGCAGTCAATGAGCCACATCTTGTAAATGCCCGATGCGGATGCGGATGCAACGCTCCGCAGAGCCCTGAAGCCCCCCCCACCACCCACCACCCACACAGCGCTATCCCGTTGTGTGTCTAAATTGCGGCATCTTTAACAATGCATGTCCTCGAGGTCCCCAGCAATACACCAGCCTAGTGCGAAGTGGATCGAACGACCGGTTCTCGAGATATGCGAAGGACACACACACACACACACACACATATAAAGGCAGAGACTCCATTTAAATCCATAACCTCCCAAAAACGTTCAACATCATTTAGATTTAGTGGCGTTAAAATGGGTTTATAATGACAGTGGTGATGTACCACTTTAGAAACAATGGACATCTTGCTCAAAGAAAGAGGCTAAAGCTACATGTCCCAGGTAAGCAGTCAGCCTCCTCATCAGTTGGTGATCCATGAAGGAGACGTGGAAATGAAGGACCAGCTAGTTAGCCGGACAAGCTAAAGTTTGCAGCTTACAGTATGTTCGTGGTACAGCGACAGTAACGTTTTAGGATACCTACCTTGAAGCTGCTTAGCAAAGCAGTAGACATCGAACAGCTCGTCAGGGGACCTATCGCCGTAGTTACGGACTCCAGGTGAGTCCTCGCGATCGCCATAGCAACCAGGCCGAGGCGACTGGATGGGATACCTTTAAGGAGACGAGGACAGGGAGTGTGAGAGGGAGGGAGGGAGGGAGACAGAAAGGGAGATTAATGGGGCGAGACTGTGGCTAAGTGGATAGCAGGGCTGTCTTTCAATCAGGGTCGGCGGTTCGATCCCCGGCTCCGGCTCTGCTAGTCGCATGTCGATGTGTCCTTGTGCCTACGGTGTAGAAATGTGATAGAATCTGAATTGTAAGTTGCTTTGGATAAAAGCATCTGCTAAAATAACTGTAATGTAATGTAATATAGACCGGCCATGAAAAAAAGGCAGCCGCAGACAAACTCAGCTCCCTGTGGACAGGTCTGTGCTCACATACATACACACACACACAAAAGAAGATGAAAACTGAGCTACACTTTTATCATCTCCTGCCCTGAATACAATGTCTCCCTCCCAGAGATTACCCAAAGAATAACAAGAATAAACACACAGATTCCAGCCCGGAAAAATGCTAAATCGAGTTATACTGTAACATTCATTAACTGTCACAACAACCTCGGGACAACATTGGGGAAGCACTTCAATAGATACGATATCTGCCCAAAGTGCGAGTTTCAGGGAGAGAAATGACCCTATTGTTTCACTTGAAATTGTTTCGAAATGTGTTTAATGGCAATATAAGAATTCCAGTAGAGAAAGAAAGAGAGAGAGGGAGGTGGAGGTAGGAAGTCAAGGAATGGTTAAAATAATCAGGAATTCCTTCGGTGGCTTGGCGAGCCTGTCGGGGCGGAGAAAACAGCGATCTATATTCTGGCTCCAACTGAGCAATTATTCCACGAGAACATTGATTCAAGCAGCACCGGGGCACAGGCAAAGAGGCTGATTAAAAGATTACGCTGGGCACACAGGGACTTGCTAGGAACAGACACAATACACAAATGCAGACAGAATCAAAGGTACATGCAGAAGACGCTCATCAGGCCTGCACGTAACCATCAACCTGCAGCGTCTTTCCTCCTGCAGCGACCTGGTTTCAGTCAAACAAGAGAACGGAGTCTTGTAATGTCCCCGGCCTCAGCCTCTTTGTTTCTGCTCGGCAGGCTGATGCCTGTATTTTTTCCCCACCGCATTAATTGGACCCTTTCCTCCTGGCTGATGTGCAGCCGGGGCCCTCCTTGATCTGGACCAATTAGATAACTCCCGAGCGGAAAACAACACGAGCGTAGCGATGCCGCGAGAAGGTTGTGAAAAAACGGTCAGGAAGAAAACAATTCAATCTGCGGTTGAGCAACAGCGATTTGAAATTAGGACTTTATGGAAGGTGGCAGAACAAAGCACACGCAGCAGCCTGACAGACAGCTCCGAGGGGGCAGCATGTAGTTAACTGCATTTCCAGTGTGCAAACAAGCAATTAGGCCCAATTATGTTGCACAGTTTTGTGTTCATAAAAACTGCAAACAGATCTAAATGTGTTGCACGTTGCCGTACTTCATACTTCTACGGAGCACGTTCTCCGGTTTTAGACGGCTTTTTAGTAGCAGAATGCATTTATTTTCGTTACGATGTTTGATCATGTGGCAAATTGTAAAAAATATCAGGCTGAAACAACTGTCTGATAGAGATTTTGAAAGAGCAGCCCGGTCCAACAAACAAGAGCTGCCAGCAAACCTTGCTGCTTTCAGCCCACGACTGCTAATTGCCATCTAGAGCAGGCTATACTGAGATGCTGCTGCGATGTATGTGATAATAAGGGGACTATAGAATGAATGATCTGCCCCTGCATCTCAGATTGTGTTGCCTTCTCAGCTATAATTGAATCAAAAGGAGTAGTAGCCATAGTGGCAGTAAAGAGTGTCCTCCCAGCTCGCTGTTGGACGTGATACCGTGTAAGTATGCACAGTTGAAGAACCTCACCGTACAGTCTGGTCAGACAGCCAGCCGGCATCGCAGTTGTCATATCCATCGGCGAAGGTGGCCTGCAGCTGGTCCGGCGTCGCGATGACGGCCGAGTTCTCCAAACACACTCTCATGGCGTCGGCGAAGGACAGGGCGTAGCGGTCATGGGGGGCCCGGTAGTGAAACACCACACCTGGAGAGGAGATGAGGGTGGAGGAAACTAACCATATTGAATATACGACCTGCAAACCTTCTGGGTCACAGGAATATTTATGAATTGCTAAAACGTGAGCACGTACACGCGTACTCGTGTACCGACATTGTTCCATCTGTGTAGTAGGGAAAAGACAGCATTCAGGTTCAGCAACCTGCGCGCGTGAATCCCATTTCAGTCAGTTCGGCTTATCGTGAGAGAAAAAGAGATGTTGCCCTTGGATACAGTGTCTGACAAACGGCGGCGATGTTTATTTTACTGCTTTAACAGTGCACACACAATGTCACCCTGCTGCCGCCGCACTCATGATGAGGAGACAAAGAAGGTGGAAATAGAGATATGCCGCATTCAAGGAGATGCATGTATTATATGCTTCACGTATTGGACCGCGGAGACAGAAGGAGAGGCTGATAGGAAGACAGGAACGCAAAAAAAATTGAGCGGGAGAAAAAATTGGAAGTAGCAAAAGAGACAAAATAAATCACCTGGCAACAAAGTGAGACACAATTCTCTTTGCAGTGAAAGAGGCATATATTTCACTTAAATGGGACAGGATTAGCTTCAGAAGTGTCCGTCTAATGCTCCCTCACCTCCCACCTCCACCTGCCATTCACGCGTTCGCTGCTCCCCATGAGGAGCATCCAGCGACGATGAAAGCCGGTGGGCGGCCGGCCACTAACACGGGTCCTTTATCTTCGCTGGTTTTGTCTGGGAGAGTGACAGAGATTCCTGCGAGATGCGAGGCCTGCATGGCAATTTGAGCATTAGCACTCCGGGCTCCCACAATCCCAGCAGTCCATCTAGCCGTTCTGTCATCGTGGTCTTATTCTCCTCTTCACTAAAATGTGGAGCAGAAATCCTCTTTTTTTCTCCTCAGTTTCCATCCTTTCTCCTTGGAGGCTGTGGAATCTCGTCCAAACAGAGATGCAAAGCTTGCCGGCTAATACGTACACTAGAGAGACAAATGGGTCTCATCTCAGTTTGGGGAACCCAGTGTTATTCCACATGAGGGTTGAGTACCTTATGCCTCTATTTTTACCCTCTGCATCCTCACACGTTCCCACTCACGGTCTCCAGAGGGAAGAACCGGAAGGCACCATTTGTGGGTAGATGCTCCATGACTGTATGCTGCCCCCATTTTAGCACTGTTGAGCAGTTGGTGTCCCTGGGCAATATTGGTTAGCACACTACACTGATATAGTATAAACTTTACTTTGTTTAGAGTCAAACTGAAATTTGAATTCTCCTCACGTTTTGCGTATGACAGTATAACAATTATGATACTTTAGATATTGCGTGTATTTCTCCATTTTTCAAAAGCAGGCATGTTTATAATTGGATTTGTGGAAATATTTGCTGTGTCTCAATTTGTGTTCTTCAATACTGACACTTGCTACTTGTATAAGTGCATATTTACACTGACAGGTATGGCAAAATACGGAGCACTTTGTGTACCTGGAGGGTGTATTTCCCACCACGCATTAAACAGGGGGCACAGACAATCAAGTAAATGCAATCACGTTCACTTTTATTCAGTTTTAATACGATTGTTAAGTGAGCAAACAAGCTGGGAGATATTTTTGCAGGCGACAATCGCAGTCAAACGGTGGTAAAGCTCTGTCAGGATGCAATTTACCATTAAAAAGAAGAAGAAGAAGAAGAAGTGGAAGAAAGAGGAGAAGAAAAAGAAGAAGAAGAAGTGGTCAAATGCTGCGATCGTCATTTGGAACCAGCATTTCACGTCCACTGGAGAACACTAGGGGGCGCTGGCAAAAAAAGATAAATTAAGTGCTAAAATGATCTTGTGCTAAAGTTGTTTTAACGATTGCAATATGCTTTCCATCCTGCCCAGGACTGATATACCATCTATATGTCCTCACACCAGTTAATGGTGGGCGGACATATCTCACCACAGACAACGGCTCAAACGGCTATCAAAGGCGCTGTCCTCTAATTGGTGAGACAGAGCCAATTGGCCGGTCAATATGTGCCACGAGGAAGAAAGAAAATGGAGACTAAACAGGAAGTGAGTAAGACAGAGGCAGTGGGGGAGAAATTAGCAAAGAGATGGCAAGAGAGGAAGGACATCTCATCGAGGCTTAGGCACACACAAATTGCTCTATGAGAAGAGCCGTGTGGATTAATATGATATTGATATATCCGAGCAGTATCAATACCTGCTAATTAATACTTTAAGCACTCAGTAGAATCAGTGTGAGGAAGGCTGTGGTCTGCCGTCTGGCGTGACTGCCAATTAAGGCTAAGCCCTGGAGATGGCTAGTCCTCGCCAGCTATGTAATTGGTTTCTCTCTGAAGGAGTGGTTTTCATAGTGCGTTAATCGATTGGCCATGAGGGGAAGGATGCAGGGTCTCCATAGCATCATGACAGGGGTCCCTGCTGACTAAAATGCAGACCGCCATTATGGAGAAGGATGAGGTGCTCCGCTTACTTAAGAAAATTAGACAGCATCCTTGTTGAAATACTGAATTTATTAAGACATAGTTCCCACACGTATATGCACGCCTGCATCTGTGCTATATGCAAGCAAAGACTATCTGGGATACTCTCAGTGACGGACGATTTATCTATTGTAGAGTGTAAAATAATAAGGCCACTGGGCCTTCAGAGCTGATGTTAGCACTTAGCATGGATTTGTGCATAGTGTACGGCGGCTACTGCCTTGCGTCATCCCCGAGAGTCATTATAATAATAGCTTATTATCAAAAAATAGTGAGTGACCTGGAAAGAATCTGATGAAAGCGCTGCAGCTCAAATACCCTGACAAAGTAATCACGGTTCTACTACAGTGTCATACCTCCAGGTCGTCTGGTTATTCCACAAATACGGTTGTCCTGGACACAGACGATGCAGTAAGTGGTTTGCCCATTTAGTTAAGCCACCGAGAGCCACACAAAGAGCTCTGAGTTAACACTCTTTGACAATAGTGTACACTGCTGGGTTCCTACCTTATTGGCTTCATTAGGCTTTCAGTGCATGAACAGCACCTGAGGTCAATGATGTTTAATGTGTTCTATATTTCCCTCACCTTTCTCCACATCATCATACACTCTACACGGACAGTAAACAACCCTGGGTGTAATGGATGTATTAGCCTAACATAGAAAACAGGGTCATTATTATTCATAGTGGCAGACCTTGAGAGCACTGGGAGATCTGTACACAACCAAAGACTGTTAATTCCGGACAATAAATTATGGAGGTAAAAACATGCATAACGCCTGGGATGAAATAAACAGTGTTAATTACTTTGTATATCATGTCTCATCATCAGTTGATGGTGATATTATATTTGAGATGATATTACCATCTCGTCGCACAGAAATAATGAGGTTTGCGATAGTGGTAGCACATTCTTGCTTGCTCAATCTTTCTCTTTCTCTCTCTCTCTCTCTCTCTCTCTCTGTTCCAATAACGCTTTAGTGGTGTGACTGTCCAGTGTTAATATTAGTGTCCAACACATTACAAATTAAAAACAAGTAATACGAGCAAGTGGATTCACCTTTCATTAATTCAGGACCCTTCTTGGTCATTGTTACTGTTATTGTCCCTCAGCTCACATATGGAAAGGCTTGGCTAGCGATAGCGATACCTCCACGAGGGATATTTAAAATGTTCTCTATTAGCAGGCGTTTTTCAAGTGTTTTCTGTTTAATTAAACCACTTAAATGCAACTCAAATTCATAGTTTGGTTTTAATTTGAATATTATCTTTTATGGTAACTGTTCACGACTGTGTTGGTGTATTTCAGATGCACCCTTTGCCTCTTAGTAAAGCTTTAGCTTCTGCAATTTTATGCTTACCACAAGTGATGTTTAGCACTGCAAAAGTTAACCTTTATGACCTGAAGGCAGGTTGAATAGTTGTAGTTATCTTCATCATTTAGTTAGAAATTACATAATAATTCTAAAGAAAAACTCTAAGGAAGTTAGCAAGTGTGCTAGCTTGTAGTGGCTAGCTACTTAAGTTAGCTACGTGAGCTAGCTACCTGACTACGAATAGCCTGTTTCCTCAAAATATGAAGAAAAAGTATACATATATATATATATAGTATATATCTCCAGGTCTGTGAAATAAATAAAGTTTTAATACATTGGGCAACACATCCTTGTGTTTGTTTAGTGCGACTAGCATAAAGCTAAGTTTGTTCTAGCATGACATTTAGCCCAACAAGTGTGGCTTCAATTCAAAATGGCTGCCTTACTGTCAGCCCAAACTGTCATTTTATTCACCTGTGACCTCCAGGGGAACTGTGTCCTGCTCGTCGCTGATGCCCACCACGACCTCACAGCGGTACAGCCCAGAGTCGCTGGAACGTAGCCCCGACAGAGCCAGACTGGCGTTGTAGCGGTTGCCGTTGTAACCGGGCAGCGTCACACGACCCTGGAAGGCCTTCTTCACCTGAGGGAAGAGTAAGAACGACAGACGGAGACAATTTGTGTTTCTCCTAAAGACGCTCGACATCAAATATTTCCCAGTGGTGGTCCACCTCATTATTTATTGTACCTTGACCACGTTGTCTTTGGCCACCAGTACCGACTGTTCCTTCTGCAGGCCGTCGGAGCCTCTCTGGCCCCAGACCTTGGTCCACTTGACCCTGGGGGGCTCATGGGATGAACTGGCACCGGGGCGGAGGGTGAAGAGGCAGGGCAGGAGAACGGTTTTGGACAGCTCCTCGCTAATGGTCTGATGGGTCACCTTCCGCATATTCACCACAGTGTCGGCGTTGGCGCCGCCTGACGGGAGCAGAGGAGAGGAGAACACGATCAATGCCATCTTGTAAATTAAGCCACGGGACGCGATTTCTCATTACACTGAAAAGACGTTAGGTAATTGCTTCTTGTTGCGGAAAACACGCTCTCCTTTAGGGTTCCTTTGTTCCGTCAGATCCTCCTGGTTGTGGAGCAAAGGAAGAAGAACAAAGGCTCATTGTGGTTCTGTAATTGTATGTCATCGATCCAGCAAACCATTAATGTACAACCTGAACAGTGTGAGTCTCAATTTTAATGAATGCAAGAAAACGATTCACAAATGTATTCCAGGATTTATACAAAAATGACTTCCTCCACAAAAATATGTTTTCAATGCACACATATATATATGTTAACAAAATCCACATACAAACATCCAAATGTTTTGGATGAAAACTTTAAATTCTTTTAAAAACATGAATTTGTGGTTTTGTCTTATATTTATTTAGAAAAGGGTAACATCCGTGTGTGCATCAGAAATACATTTGTGAATCTTATTTTTTTTTAGTAGATTTTGTTCACATTTCAATGTAATAAGAACTACCTTTGTGTGCATTGAAACATGTTTTTGTAGAGAGAGTCGTTCATATATAAATCACAAAATGCATTTGCGAATCCTTCTGTGTGCATAGTGGCAGGACTGGACTGTGGAGCGAAAATATCAAAAGTGCTTTCACAAGCCATACATCAAACCTGGATGTGCATTATGGGATCAATATCAGCCACCTCTGTGCTGCTTAAAGCACCGCCGCCGCCATAGAGATACAAATATTACTTTCATCAAAACAATTGATGACAGAGCGAAAGGGCATTATCGTAAGAAATTCAGAGTGCGGTGCGTTTAGAAGACATCAGTCGTTTTGTTTCACAATATTGCACCGCATTTTTCTTTGTTTGTCTTTTGGCCCACCGACTGATTTTACACTGGGAGAGTCACATCATGCATTATCATTAGACTCTAATCCTGTGTCACCTTGCCTGAAAAGACAGAGGTGGCTCATTTACATTGCAGAGGTAGATGTGAATTCCACTCTCACAAAACAGCGATACAGGTTATCATCCCTGAGCTCTATCTGCTTCTGTTTATCCAGTGTGCACATGTGTGCCAATGAGGTTTACCTGTAAAGTCTTCAACCCGATAAGATTATTTTCTAGCTCCCTTATCAGTCACTTTTCCCTTTCTTCTCCCTACTGGGAACGCTGGCAAAACATGTCACTCTATCTAATCTAATTTGCTCCAAAAGTCCAAAATCAGCTAGCCACTTTTTAGCCACACTAACATTGCGGCTCCAGGCATAACAAAAGGGACTGCCAGGAGATTGGTGATCCCCAGAGGATGAATCCCAATGACTTTGGTGATCCCCTGACTTCTCCTGTTGTGCAACCATGAGGTGGACATTTGTGGTTTTGAGGGAAGCCACATAAGTCAAAGAGAGGAGAGAGATCAAAATGAAAGAACACAAAGAAGCCCTCTATTGGTGGGCGGAATGGTTGAACAGTGGAGAAAATGGGCTTATTGATTTCTTTTCATTAGTGTCGGCTTCCATCGCCCACTTTGTGTGTTCATCCTGCTTATGTCCTGTTTGATTGGGTGTATGTTAAAGCGCTACAGGGCCGGCCCCTCCCGTCTGTAATTACACGGCAGATCGGTGGAACAAGCTCAGCGCTGTGCGAGTACCTCAACCTCTCCATCCTTCTGCCCGCTCTGTCATTTTTCCCCCCTTATGTCCGGCCATTTTTGTTCTCCTCTTACTCCCCCGCAGTGCGACCACCCGCCAGCTTTCAGATGAGCATTTTAGTTCTTCACTTATTTTTCACCTGGCAATCTTATTTCGGTTTTATCTACAGCCTATAGATAGAGATATGCTGTGTTTTTGTTAGACTTTCAGGATTAGATTTTCTTCCCCTCGAGTCATGCGGAAAAAGTTCCCTTCATGATTCAGATCAACTTTTAATCAGTTGCCTCATCTCTGATTGTCAATTTCGCAGCGCCGGAAATTCCATGTGGGTGAAAATTGCCTCGGGCATCGCTTAAGCAAGGGCGGCGAAAATGTGGGAAAACTATACATGAGTAACCAATAGCAGGAGCTGGAGACTCGCCAGGCTAAACATTCTGTAAGCACAAAGAAGTGCTGAGGAATGCGTCAATAGCTGCACACGCCTCCCTATCCCGCCTCCCACCCCCAGCTATCACGAGCCAATAGTAGTCTGGCCTACTGACACCACGTTCGATCGCTTGAGAAAAAACAAATGCAACGTGAGAATAATAAAGCAGCGTGTCTGAACGGCCGAAATTATCTGAATGAAGAAAAAAAAAAGGAGACAATTGAAGGAACGAGTACTCCAAAGTTATATTGATGCGCCTTCAAGTCAAGTAACACGGAACCAGGAGATCGCTAGCGCCGCTAGCACGACTAATGCTAATGCCGTTGCTCCAAAGGGAGGAGAAGCAGCGGGTGCTCAGATGTCAGAAGTGAAGGTCGTTTCAGTTGATGGAGGAACTTACGTGCGCACATGAGAAAGTGGTGTGACAGTTCAGCTCTGGTATATTCCTCCGTTTGAGGAGCTGAAATTGGATTATTTGAAAATAGATATACATGAGGCTGTCAAGAACTTGGAACCAGGTTATTGGGAGTTATTATGCAGAATTGTTTGGTGTGTTATTCATATACGGATCAGCGATATTACTTTATTCTTCAATATTCACCGTGAGCACACTAGCATTGCTGTATGCTTGGTGTGTATGGAATATTGCTGTTTGTTTGCCGTTGCTGGTGGGGTATGTTGCAAATAGACGGGCAGCGTGATTGTTTTTCATCTAGAGAGGAGGAAGTGCATGTGCCGGTCCTGCAATTTTGCTTTGCCAACCGTGTATGTATTGTGTAAGGGTGTGTGTTTATTTGTGAGTGTGTGTGTGTGTGTGTGTGAGTGTGTGTGCACTTGAATGCTCTCACAAGTGAAAACATCTTATCTGTCATTCATGGAGCACCGTATGCAGACCCTATACACACACACACACACACACACACACACACACACACACACACACACA